ATGAGTGGCTTGTTAATGAGCTGATTATTTTGATCAGGTGGGTTTGCAGCAGGTAAAACAGCTAAATGTGCAGGACAGGGGGGACCAGGGTTGGAAACCACTGCGCTAAGAGATAAGGAGAGGTTGGAAAACGGTCCTGTTATAAGTGGACTTCATGGGAAAAAGTAAGATATAAAGAAAAACGTAGGATATGGGTCCTTTAAAAGCTGCCTCACAGAAAGTCATCACGTGATGTGGCGATGAACGCTGCCTGATATCTGAGACGCTGTCTCATGATAGTTGGAGATAAGCTTCTTGGCTAGAATGTAGTTTTTAATCCACTCTTCATGGAGAGCTAAAACAGCACCCAAAGAAAACCGGTTTACCATTACTAACCCTACATATGGATAGTCAATAAAGTGGCTACCTTTGTGTTGTAGTCGCGGCAACCCCTGGTTCCTATCACCACCACTTTCTACGATGAACTACTTCACATCAAACCACTCTGGATGACTTTGTTGACAATTTAACGACTGAATTATAAAGGAATTTTGAGAAATCGGTGGGGTTTCCCATTTAAACATTAACAGGTCCACACTGAACGCTACTACAAGCAACTACTAGCAGTGTGAGTTTAGCCCCGGGGGCCTGAACACGCAGGACTACAGTCGTGCAGCGACGTGGTTAAATATTTACGTTTGAGTTAGCAGTTTGAAGCATAGCTGCCTAGACTTGAACCGCCAGGCTGACTCCGCGCTCCAGAGCTCTCCAGCAGAATAAAGGCACAGGTGATCAGCGCTGCGTTTCAACCCTTCGAAGAGTGACTTCTGTTCAATACAGGGCAAAACTGTGGAAGCAGGTGGTGATTTTTATTAAAGTAGCAGAAATCCTTTACAATAATGAAGAGCTGCAACAACCGAACAGTCTGATTTTCACATATTACACTGAATATTATCATGAATATTAAAAATAACAGCCGTGTTCCAGTTTCATAAGTGAATGGAAACCGCATTCGTAGCAAAACTGCATTAAAATGCTACATTAGGGGATCCTGCCCAATCTGGCAACCCTGGGCACAGCAGTTGCTCTGGCTCTGTCAGCAGCGTAACCTAACCGTCATCTTCAAAGAGAAAACCTCTCAGTCAGCTCTGGTTGGTGAACAGTGACGTAATGAAGGTTCTTAAGCCATTCAAAGCCGCTCCATCTCAGTCAGCACACACTAACCTCAGCCGGGTCGGCTTTAACGTCCAGTGCAGTCTGAGTAATACACCTACAGCTAGCTGGACACAACACTCTCGTTTATTCTCAAAAATAAACGCAACTAAAAACACGGCAGCCAGCTAGCGACCCAGAGCAGGAGGACACTTACTCCTACTGCACTTCATAAAGCAGGATTTCTCGGTTACCCTGCTGGAGTGAAAAACGACCCTGTGACCCCAAATCGTGCAGAGCTGGCAACTGGGCACTACTTGTCATGTGTTAGTATTTGGCTTGATAAACAACGGACTTCCCCACGGACGTGCACGGGATCATATAAGCGGTAAACGTGTCGGTTATTCGGGCGGCTTTATCCATTTTCGAGCACACAAACCATCGATTTCATCAAAGATTATCAAATATTTACTGCAGCACTACAATCACGTCGACTTTGCCAACATCCGATGCAGCACGAGAGCCAACTTCAGCAGCAAAACGTGTCCAGAAATCACTGCGATCTGACGCTTCTGCCCTTCTAAACACACACAAAACTATGGGAAAGCTGATGATCAGCTCTAGTAATAATGTGTTAAAATACTGACATCAAAACCATAATAAAATATAATACTATATATTATAATATAACATAATACAATACAATATAATAATATAATATACTATAATATAGTATAATACACTATATTATATTATAATATAATATACCACAATATAATATAATAATATAATATAATATATTATAATACAATATAATATTCAATTTGCTATTTTCAATTTGCTTTCAAGACATTTTCCCCAAGATATCATCACAATATTGAGTTTTCAATATCAAAACAGACAAAATAGAACTAATAGATCAACACAAATATTACAGTAATAATGATGATAATAATAATGATAGCAATAATAATAATAATAATAATAATAATAATAATAACAACAACAACAACAACTATTTTTAGTCAATGTTTTACAAACTGAACTGCTCTAAATCTAATTAAGCAGACCTAATTATGCACTTTGCAATTATATGTATGTATGTATGTATATATATACATATATATATACAAAAAGTATATGCAGTTAGTCAGTAGTCTTTAAGTACACTCTTAAAAAAAAGATTCTAAAGGTTCTTTAGCCAACAAATCGTTCTATATAGAACCATGAACACTCAAAGAACCCTTTGCATGATTTAAGGGTTCCCTGCATCATGAAAGCGTTCTTCAGACTGACGGAGAAAGGGTTCTATATAGCACCAAAAAGTGTTCTTTTTTTGGTAATACACAGAACCCTTTCTGCTAAGACTGTACTGACAGCGTCCTTGGCGTTCTGAGAAAAGCGTACCGTGGCCTAACTCACCCCAATAACGATGAAACACCCTAGTCTGACCTTTGTTAACCTTCGGCCTGTGATGTGTGTAATTCTAGAATTCGACATGTGATTCTGGAATTCGCGGCATTCTTAGAACAGCCTGCGTGCCATTGTTACATCACAGACGGAAATTCGGGTTCTGTGGCATTCCGTCTCCCTTGAGACGGCGCATGGAGGCCAGAGGGCCGGAGGAGGGTTAGGGCAGCGCTGAGGGAAGGCGGGCCCTGAGGTTCCCACTGCGGGTCGTGTTCCCCTTCGGCGGCTGTCCTGACAACCGCACACCTACAGCGCAGCACACGCAGCTCCGCTAACGGGACGCCTCGGTGAGGAACCGACAGGGTAGCTTTGGCACAAACACAGAAAACAGGATTTGATAAAGGAAGGTTTCTCACTGAGCCTGATAACGCGAGGCCGAACTCAGCCCTGTCCGGTAGAGGAGGAGGTGGGGGGTGTTCGGACTGGACAGACACAACATCTGGGCTTAAAACAGACAGATCAGCCAAAGTTACACGTTAAATGACCAACTGAGTCAGCAGGCTGTGGCTGTGACTAGCACATGCATGCAGCTGATACTGGTTACTGTACTTCTTCAAACCTTCTCACTTTGCCGGCTGTCAACCAATGGGATGTAAACATCACAGCACTTACAGTCGTAGGCAAAAGTTTGAACACCCCTGGTTGACTTTCTTAACTGAAAACAAGTCGACACGTTTTCTACGGGGTATAAACCTAAATTAGGCATTTTTTTCAGATTTTCACATTTGTTTGCAAATTTTAGTGCACGATTTCTGTTTCTTTACTAGGTTTAACATATTACAATAAAAAAAAACAACAACAGCCATAATTTCTGCACATTTTACACATTTCAATATGCTAAATTCAGCAAATATACACTAAATGTGCATTAAAATGTGCTCCCAGTAGACGACGTGCGCTCATCTTCACGTGTGCAACTGACTGCACGTGCACTACATTCCAACCCAGTTAACAAGAGCGTGAAACGATCTGCACGTCAAGTGCATTCAAGCCAAGGTAAAAGAGAAAAACGTGCTCTGTTTACGAGTTTAGTGCACCACTACACCCAAACATTGCCTGAAGTGTGATGCAGTGTTGTCACAAAAGCCTGCGTGACTGGACGACTGCTGACCGTCCCTGGCTCAGGTCAGCGCGTGTGCAGTAAACCCCAAAGCCCTCAAACACACATGATGAGCCCTTCAGTCAACACGGCCATGGTCAAGCAGATATCAACCAATGCGATCTCATGAATATCCACCTTTCTGCGCTACCTGTGTCATGAATTAAGCCATATCTAGCTCTCTAAGCACTTTCATGCTCTTCCTGCACCTGAGACAAGGCACTAGGTAAGGATTCAGTCTTTCAGGAGCTGAATCAGGAAGAACACGGAGCTGTGCAGTGCAGACAGTTTGCAGTAGTGGTTCCCAATCCTGGAGCCTCGTTTATGCACAAAATGCACATAGACTTTGTTCTATGTTGGTTTTTAAGGCACATTTGTCATCATTTGTGCAAAGTTGAGCACATTTTCATATAAAATTCTCATTTAGAATGTAAATTTTTACAAATCACTGTTGTCGGAAGAAAACCTTGTATCTCCAAAATGGTAACTTTTCAGGAGAAGGAAAAAACCTACTTTACTTTTAATGTAAGTCAATGGAACCAGAGCTTTTACCAAGTCATTTTGGGTCATTTCTTTTGGTCCATTTATCATGAAATTTACACATGACTTAAAGGGACACACATACTTTAAAATTATGTGAAAAACTGAAAAACAACAAAAATGGAGATCCGAAGTTTTCTTCCGAACACAGTGATATAATTATTCCGAGATGTTATGTTATGGACTTTTTTTCCATCCTACAAAAGAGAATTTGCCGTTTGTCTGCCTAATAAAGCCCAGTCTGGGAGCAGCACAGCCAGCGGAGCAGCACCGGCTGCAGCACTGGGGGGTTAAGCGACTCGCACAAGGTCACAGGCAGGTATTCCCAGTCAGTCCTGGGATCTTAACCCACGACCTTCCGAGTGCCGGCTCACCTCTCCTGGAGAATCCCTGTCCTGCTCATTTCAGGGCTACAACACAACTGAACCAACTACTCAGCTTACTGGCCAGGCAGTGGGTCCTTCAGGACCAGGGTTGGGAACCACTGGACCTCATGAGGTCAATTAACCAGCCTATATGTGACCTCGAGGCCTTGTGGTCCGATCTTGAAGACGTTTCATCACATCTGAGGAGCTTCACCTGAATTGAGGGCACCTTGGATGAGTGGCGAGACGTCTTCCAGTCTCCTCGTCACCTTGGCTGACCACTACTGGCCGCTCAACGACCCAGACAACCTGAAACCGCCACCCTCCTGTTGGACAGGCCTACAGAGCATTATAATAAACTCGAAAGCAATTTTAAGCTCCGTCCCGTTCCTTACCTGCGTAGAAGCGCAGCAGTGAGCCGAGCTCGGTGTTCATCCCTTCCTCCTGCACTCTCCACGGGTCCTTAAATCCCAGTTTGAAGAGGAACTCGTTCTGGATCTGCAGGGGCCTCTCGTCCCGGGCCAGGCGCCGGGCCGCCTCACCGTGGAGCTGCACGTAAAGTGCCGGCGAAGTGTTGCGATCCTCCGCCTCCGAGGCCTCGGGCCGCGAACAGAGGCGCTCAGACGGGCCCGGAGAGCCGGGACCAGATCCAGGCGGGACAGGGGCCGGGCTCAGCGGCTCCAGCCTGCTCCCGTTCATGTCCGTCCTGTCCGTTAAAATGGTCGAGTCCTGGGTCACAGAGTCGCTGGGGTCTCCAGGCGCAGGCCCGTCCAGCTCCAGCTCGTCCGATGAGCTTCCGTAGGCGTCCGGGCCCTCGAAGGGCGGGCTCAGGGCGGACGCGTCCGTGCCCAGGATCATGTCGTCGCTCAAAGAGTCTCGGTGCTCGGCCAGCCGGGACTGTGCGGAGCCCAAGCTCTGCACCGACCCCTCGCTGTTGCCATTGGGCGACAAGGGGCTGGCCGTGATGGACACTTCGGGCGAGTAGAGGCCGAAGTCTTCGGGCCGTCCGTCGCTCTCGTCCTTCTCGAACAGGAACAGGTGGAGCCGGTCGCTCTCTGGCCTCAGGTGCTCAAAGCGGCTCTGGTGGTCACCACCCCGGCCTCCCCCGATAACCCGGACCACCGACGCCAGCTTGCTGCCCGTCTGGCTCAGACGCTGGGCGATCTCGCCCGCCGTGGTCTCCAGCGTGCACAGGACGGGCCTGGGGCTGGACCTGTCCCAGGACCGGTCGTGCACATGCACGGCGCCCCGGTGCAGGTCGGCCCGGACCCACTGGCGGTCAGACGGCTGCAGCTGGACGGCGGCGGCCTGCCGGTGCCTCAGCAGGGCCTTCCTGTCCAGGCTGCGGGTGTGCAAGGAAGAGGAGGAGGATGAGGATGAAGAAGAGGAGGAGGACGATGAGGAGGGCACCGCGGCCGAGCTCAGCTTGGTCGAGGCCGAGGCGGCTGACAGGTTCCTCTTCAGACGCCGCCTTTTCAGAAGCAGTGAGCTGGTGCTGGTGCTGGAGCTGGTGTTTGGACCCCCGCGGCCGTTTTTGGCAGCTTTCAGGGCGGGTTTGTTCAGCTCGGCGGCCGGAGGAGACCGCTGGCCGCCTTTCAGAGCGTCCATACGGGCAACCTCGGGCTTCGACTCACCGCCACCGCCACCGCCGCCGCCGCCTCCGCCTCCGCCGTCGTCCACTCCCGGACTCGGCGAGGGGCCGCCGGGCTTCTTCGGCTTGCTGCTTTCGGTCGTGCTGGATTTCCACACGCCCGCTGTGGAAGAGCCGCCCTCAGCCGGCCTGACCGCTGCCCGCGCACTTTCCATCTTCCGCGCAGAAGAAGAACAACAGCAGCGACAACAACAACAACAACAACAGCTGCGGCGAACAGAAGTAAATCTCCGGCTCTGGTTCAGCTAGAAGAGGCGAGCTGCTGTCCGGGCTCCGCCGTCTGAGCGGCGCTACTCAGATCGCTGCACATCCACTCACATTCGCGTCTTTCCTCCCTCCCGCTCCGCCTCGCCTCGGTAAATGGCTTCGGCTACTTCTGCTGTTGTCAAATCATGGAGACTGAACGGGGCAGCAGCAGCGCGGCGAACTCCCGGAGGGCGGGGCCGCTCCGCTGCGAGGCGGGCTGTGTTCCAATTGGCGCAGCACGCCAACTAGCGCGCTCAGCGTAAACTCCTCCGCTCTCACTTCCCTCTCTCAGAGCTTTGGGCGCCTCTGGCCGCAGATTTAGGTGCTGTAGAAGTATTTAATAAGCCATTTTCTAATTCTTCTACTAAAATATCACCAATCTGAAAATTAGACCCCCCCCCCCATATTAGCCTTTTAGCCTTTTAGCTATAAAGGTCTATTTTGCTAAACAGATTTAGCCGTTTCAGTCTTTCTCGAACGGGACTCAAAATCCTGAACAGCTAAATCAAACACCTCCTAAAATAGAAGTGAAACGCCCCTTAAGTGCCGACATCACTGAAAGCGCATGTATACTTTTAAAGTTAGGACTGTTATTGTTTACGGTTAAGACTTTTATTTTGTAAAACCCATAATACTTAACGTCTAACTTAACGTCTAAATTTTTGGTGGAAGATTTATTTATTTATTTATTTATTTATTTATTTATTTATTTATTTATTTGCCTGTCTGTTTTCTGTAAATAGGAGTTTTTTTTCTCTCTCTCTTTGAAGTTTTTATTGTTGTTTAAACCACAATATAAACTTCATTGACATCTTTTGGAATCGGACACAAAGGAATCAACACACAAAAATAAGAAGAGCTTAAATAAATAAATAAATAAAAAGTTGAATAAGCACATAACCCGTTTTCCACTTTAGAGTGTTTTAATAGTTTTTGTTTTTCTTAAATAGAAGGGAAGCCTTAATAAACTTGTGTTTGTTTGTTTTGTTTTGTTTTTATTTTTGTGTTAGTTGTAACAGAGAATCATATTTTTTACTCAGGTCACTACAAAACAGTCCAAAGTTAAACCCCATTGCCCAAATTTGTGGATGTAAAATTAACGTTTGTTGACTTTATTTCACAGCGTAGGAACAGAAACGCTACTGTGGAGTTTCTATGGTGTTGCTAAGGAGTTGCTCGCTTTTTGGCCGTTAGCTAACAAATAGAAGCATTACGCGCAGCACTGGTGAGCAAATCACTCATCAACACTAGGAGAACTCGGAGAAACAGGCTACGGTTGCGGTTTGTAGTGCCCTTGATTCTGGAGCGATAACAGTGTGGAGCGCACTCGCTAGGGACCCTCTTTAGGACGCTAGTACGCAGATGAGAACGCGTCCGCGTGAAGGCAAACATCCGACGCTTGACGCAAACGCGCAGCTGCATATTCATGAGGTGACGCCGGAACGGAATGGCGCGCACAGTTTACTAACCAACGCGGTGGCTCTTGGGAAATGTATTCATTCCCCGACAGGCCGCGCTGTATCTCCTCAGTAAGCCGTGTTTGATTGGACTACATTTCCCAGGAAGCGTCGCGCAACGTCGACGACAGTTGATCGTGAAACATCGCGACCGTTCGTCTCGCCCATCTCGATGAGCGGCTTCGGTGCGTCGCTGCATTTCTTCTGTTTTTAGGAAGGTTTAGAGGATATTTCGGGATTTCTGCGGTGGTTGGTGGGGATACCGAAACAGGGGCGGTTCTAAATGAGACACTCCAGCGCGTTTTACTGTTTTCTGAAGGACTGAGCAGCTGACACGTTCGTTACTGATTCGCTTAGACTGATAGGAGACTCATCTAATAATGCAGAATTTCCCTGATAAAGCAGGACTGGAGTCGGCTTCATATTCGCCGACTTCTAGTTCGAACTTTCCCGTTCCACCTTAATAGTGCAGCAGTTACATTCTGGCGCGAACTTACCCGTTCCACCTTAAATGATGTAGCAGTTATATTCTGGCGCGAACTTTCCCGTTCCACCTTAAATGATGCAGCAGTTATATTCTGGCGCAAACTTTCCCGTTCCACCTTAAATAGTGCAGCAGTTACATTCTGGCGCGAACTTTCCCGTTCCACCTTAAATGATGCAGCAGTTATATTCTGGCGCGAACTTTCCCGTTCCACCTTAAATGGTGCATATAATAATAATAATAATAATAACTGTTGCACCAGCGTCTGCCTCTGTAATATAAGAAGTACAATATATATATATATATATATATATATATATATATATGTATATATGTATATGTGTGTGTGTTTGTTTGTGTGTACCGTTTGGGGTTCAGTTAGAGCCCATCTGGCCCATCTGGTGTTTCATGTCTTTAAATAAAATATTTAAAATAATATTTAAATAATATTTTATATTTTTCCTTCATATTTAAGGACTTTTCCTAACTGAAAGGGGAACCTGGGTAAACACTAAATGAACATGATGACCTGTTTCAGTGTCTTGTGCTCTACGACACCTGCAGTAGAGCGAGAATCACTGATAGTTCACACCACGCAGGGGAGGGGAAACATAAGGCCCACCAGAACTGTGTTGGGGTCAAACTGAGCCCAAGGAGAAAAGATGTTACATCTGAGGGTAACGTGAGGGTTTAAGGACTGAGAAGATCAAAGGAATCAAAGGACGCTCCATTTATTTCATGGTTTTACACACAGACAGACCCCAGCAGCATTAAACTGCACCCCCCCCCAGTACGTTTTAACACTTTTTCTCTCCTTTCTCCTTTTTACTTAGTTTTAATGTCATGTTTATGTTTTTTATTTTATTTGTTTATTACTGATTTGTAATATTGTTATTTTTAATTATCTCTTTTTTATTTTGTTCTCAGTTGTATTTTCTGACCACGCTGCTCAGTTTGTGTTAATCACGTGTGTCAATCACATGTGTGTCAATCACATGGCCATTGGTGTTTGTATAATGCTTTCAAAATAAAAGTGAAGAGTTAGGTTTGCCATGCTGTTGACTGAAGTCATGACCACACTGCGTGGTGTTGGGCGCCACCTAGTGGAGTCTCTGCTCATGAACAACCAAATGAATTCATTACAGCTGCACATTTGCAAAGCTGTTTATCACTTGAGAATAAAGTGAGACTCTTTTCCCACTTATTGACTATTTCAGCTTTATTCTACTGAGACTAGACATTTCAGAAACACTGATGATGTCACTGGAGACCAGGGGCTTCTTTCACCAAGCAGCATTTCTCTATTTCGCCAGAACGCTTAAGCCTGTCCAGCAGTAAAAGAGCTGAATAACGTTCTTGTCGGACAATCCTCAACTTTGTGTTTAAGTTATCTGGCTAACTTAGAAATCATGCTTTGTGGAATCCCCAGCAGAGCTGGGCGGAGTAGACTCAATCCAAACTCTAGTATAAGTACCGTTACCTCAGTTAAATAGTGACTGTAGTACTGTTACCATAGAAACCAGTCACTGCTTATAGAAGCCTGTAATGACCACAGACTGATATAGACGGATCAGACATTGTGACCACCTCCTTGTTTCTACGCTCATTGTCCATTTTATCAGCTCCACTTACTATATAGGAGCACTTTGTAGTTCTACAATTACAGACTGTAGTCCATCTGTTTCTCTGCATACTTTGTTAGACCCCTTTTACCCTGTTCTTCAGTGGTCAGGACCCCCATGGACCCTCACAGAGCAGGTACTATTTGGGTGGTGGATCATTCTCAGCACTGCAGTAACAGTGACGTGGTGGTGGTGGTGTGTTAGTGTGTGTTGCGTTGGTCTGAGTGGATCAGACACAGCAGTGCTGCTGGAGTTTTTAAACACTGTGTCCACTCACTGTCCACTCTATTAGACACTCCTACCTTGTCAGTCCACCTTGTAGATGTAAAGTCAGAGACGATAGCTCATCTGCTGCTGCACAGTTTGTGTTGGTCATCTTCCAGTCCTTCATCAGTGGTCACAGGACGCTGCCCACAGGACGCTGTTGGCTGGGTATTTTTGATTGGTGGACTATTCTCAGTCCAGCAGTGACACTGAGGTGTTTAAAAACTCCAGCAGCACTGCTGTGTCTGATCCACTCAGACCAGCACAACACACACTAACACACCACCACCACATCAGTGTTACTGCAGTGCTGAGAATGATCCACCATCCAAATAGTACCTGCTCTGTGAGGGTCCGTTGGGGTCCTGACCACTGAAGAACAGGGTAAAAGGGGGCTAACAAAGTACGCAGAGAAACAGATGGACTACAGTCTGTAACTGTAGAGCTACAAAGTGCACCTATGTAGTAAGTGGAGCTGATAAAATGGACAATGAGCGTAGAAACAAGGAGGTGGTCATAATGTTATGCCTGATCGATGTATATGAAGATCTCCATAGAAAAGCATTGACCAATTGAAAGGGACGCTCTGGCACAGAAGCTTGAGGTAACCATGCCACTGGTCACTACTATGCCCCTTCCTGATTCCCATTCCTGATACTGCCCTGTTAAATGCTGGTCTAAACTGGATTATGCTGGTTTGTGCTGATCTGGTTGTAGTTTAGCTGGCTGACCAGCACACAGGCATCCAAAACACAACATAAGCTGTTTTGTCTGGAGACCAAACATGCTGGTTTAATGCTATTTTTTCCCAGCAGGGAGAAAATTGACTGAATCAACAAATAATAAAATAATGTAATAATGTATTTTAAATACTTCAATAAAGAGAAAGATCTGCTACGTTCTGATGATGTTGGAATCCCGATGCTGATGTTGCATTAATAAACTACTATCAAACGGTCAGTCTTTAGTGAGAAATCCCAGTTATTAAAAGCATAATTAATCTAATCTGTGTTGCGCTGGTCTGAGTGGATCAGACACAGCAGTGCTGCTGGAGTTTTTAAACACCTCAGTGTCACTGCTGG